TAAACTTGACAGATCGATGTCTTTCTATACCACTTGCAATCACTGAAATGGGGTCGATTTTTGATGATCGAGTTCCACATATGTTATGTGATTAAGCATAACACCTAATCTAGAAAAAAAACCCGAATTTATCCACCTATGGTGTGATCAGACCCTTCTTACTTATTCAAGTTTATTTATTTTATTGTCATTATAAGTGACCAAGCCCCCCACCCTCGTGTCATCCAGTGACGCTACGCCACTGCCTGGGGTACCCGGAATATATCCGGGTGTAGTCTATTTGGTGAGGCTACCATTCACCTTATCATCGTATTTTAATGTGATTTAATGGGTTTTAATTCAATTCATATTCAAGCAACTTCCCCGGGGTACCCGGAACATGTCCAAGTGTGTCCAATGTGGTCTGGAACACTTAACACGACTTGCATTGATCTTATTTTTGAATTCTGTAGTAATTTGATGTGTCGCATGATGGTTTTGATACGTTTTCCGTTAAATCCAGCGTGAAGGCCCATATTCACCGGATCTTATTCCAGCCATATCTCCGGAACCGGTTCACCGATTCCAAAACCGTTCAATAGCGTTAAATGGGACCCCGAGACCTATCATTTGGCGCCGTTTGTCCAAATCGGTTGAGCGGTTGCTGAGAATCGTGAGCGCATTCATTTCGTTACATACACACACACATACACACATACACACATACACACATACACACACACACACAGACATGTTCCGATCACCAACGAGGAGCTCGTAGTAGTGGCGAAAGGATTGAAGGTGAAGAAAGCTCCCGGTCCGGATGGAATCCCCAACGTAGCGTTGAAAGCGGCGATCCAGTCATCCCCGGACATGTTCAGGATGGTGCTGCAGAAATGCCTGAACGAGGGTCACTTCCCTGACAGGTGGAAGATACAGAAGCTAGTGTTGCTGCCGAAACCAGGAAAATCACCGGGGGATCCAGCATCATACAGGCCTATATGCCTGCTGGATACACTCGGAAAACTCTTGGAGAGGATCATCCTAAACAGGCTGACGAAATACACGGAGAGTGAGCACGGATTGTCGGAGAGGCAGTTTGGATTCCGGAAAGGGAGATCGACGGTGGATGCAATTCGGACAGTGGTCGAGAGAGCTGAAAAGGCGTCCAAACAGAAGCGGAGAGGAGATCGATATTGCGCCGTGATAACGATCGACGTCAAGAATGCGTTCAACAGCGCCAGCTGGGAGGCCATCACCGAAGCACTGCATAGAATGAGGGTCCCTGACTACCTGTGCAGGATCCTGAGGAGTTATTTCCAGAACCGGGTTCTGGTCTACGAGACAGACATGGGACAGAGATCGATTAGGATCACAGCGGGAGTTCCACAAGGCTCCATCCTTGGTCCAACGCTCTGGAACGGGATGTACAACGGCGTGCTAACGCTGAAACTGCCCAAAGGAGTTGAGATCGTTGGCTTTGCGGACGACGTCGTCTTGACGGTAACAGGCGAGACGCTGGAAGAGGTGGAAGTGTTGTGAACCGAGGCAATCGACATGATTGGTAACTGGATGAAAGGAGCGAAGCTGCAAATAGCCCACCACAAAACGGAAGTGTTATTGGTCAGTAACTGTAAAGCGGTACAGCGGGCAGAAATCACCGTCGGGGAGCACACCATAGCCTCGAAGCGTGTGTTAAAATACCTGGGAGTGATGATCGATGACCGGCTAAACTTCAACAGCCACGTCGAATATGCCTGTGAGAAGGCTTCGAAGGCCATCAACGCGATATCTAGAATCATGCCGAACAACGCTGGTCCCAGCAGTAGCAAGAGGCGTCTTCTGGCCAGCGTGTCATCATCGATACTGAGATATGGAGGTCCAGCCTGGGTTCCAGCGCTGGAAACGAAGCAGAACCAAAGGAAACTGAGCAGTACGTTCCGGCTCATGGCCATGCGAGTCGTGAGTGCGCACAGAACCATCTCGTCGGAAGCAGTATGCGTTATCGCCGGTATGATCCCTATCGGCATCACCCTGGCGGAGGACAGCGAGTGCTACAGGCAGAGAGAAGCCGGAAGAGTACGGAAAGTTGTGAGAGTGGAGTCATTGGCTAAGTGGCAACAGGAGTGGAACACGACGGAGAACGGTAGATGGACACATAGACTAATACCGATTCTTTCGACCTTGGTGAACAGAAAACACGGAGAAGTCAATTTCCACCTAACGCAGTTCCTGTCTGGCCACGGCTGCTTCAGGAAATACCTGCATCGGTTCGGACACGCAGCGTCACCCCTCTGTCCGGAGTGTGGCAACGTCGATGAAACGCCGGAGCATGTGGTCTTTGACTGTCCAAGGTTCGAGGCAGTGCGAACGGAGATGCCCGTCCTTCACGTGGAGAATGTCGTTGATGAAATGTGTCGAGAGGAGGACTCTTGGAATGCCGTCAGCAGGGCAGTCACGCAGATTATGTCAGAGCTGCAGCGTAAATGGAGAGAAGAGCAGCGATCTAGCAACGCCAGCAAACGCTGAGAGTACGACAAGTGCATGAGCACAGCTACCCCCCGAAGTAGTCGCTTCACAGTGGTCCCGGGGGGATCCAGGCAGAGGAGAGAGTAAGGAATGGGTTTTAGTGGAGCTGCACTAGGCAACTAGTGGATACCACACCGTGCCACCTTCACTACAGGCCAGGCTTCTTGAAGCTTTCCTAAACCTTACTATAAAAAAAAAAAAAAAAAAAAAAAAAAAAAAAAAAAAAAAAAAAAAAAACGTACAAACATGTTCCGATCTTGTCGAGCTGAGTCGAATGGTATATGACACTCGGCCCTCCGGGCCTCGGATCGATAGTTTGTTTTTCAAGTGATATCTATACCCTTCTTTGTAAGAAGGGTAAAAACATCAGCAGAGTGGCAGAAACTAAGCGAGATAATTTTATTCTACTCCGTGGTGAAACATAACATAGGATTCAAGAACCTCAGATAGCTCGATTTTTTGTTAAATAGGCTGAGAGTGCGAAATCGGAATCGTTTGCTGAACTGTTTCGCACATCTCGTTCAGGAACTTTTATTTTTATTTCGGTCGCAATTTTCGAATAGCTTGTTCTTTAGCGAAATGACTATCTGAAGAACTGCGAAAGAACTTTTTTGAAAATGTATTTACACTGTATACATTACCAACTTCGTTCACTAAGTATCTCGACAAATGATCGCGAAAACATGAAGTGTTAAAACATTTTTTTTATGGAAAAAGGATTCAGTCAATCTTGTCCTTAAACCAGGTGAATGGCACGCATCGAACTAATTGACAAAACAACGTGAAGTAAATTATATCCCAGGAAAAGTTAAGCAATCTAAACATCAATATAACTTCTGGGGATTTTTTTTTATTATTATTGGGCAGGTTTGGGCATAATGTTCTCAGAATTTTATCAAATTTCGTCCACAGGTATAGTTTATAATCATATGAACGATACAAACATTAAAAAAAAATAGGGTAGCCAATTTTTCGGGAAAACATTTAATTTAAATTTTTAGATTTATCCAGACATCTACGCATTCTCGTCAATCTAAGCAGCGTCCGCGCTTCTATTAGAATTTCCTCAGCGCCATGCACACATATGACGTGATTCTGTGTTTACATTTATCTGCTGTTTGCGTCTCTATCCATTCCAATCGACAGAATTGTCCAAAACTGTATTTACAACGCTCCAAACTTTTCAGGTGAGTGTGACTACTGTCGGCAGCCTTTCCATTTGAACTACGTGCTAACCAGCTTTTCTATTATCGGCAACTCGAAATGCGCCGCATTTTGTAGTGTACATATTTCATTTAAAGAAAAATATGGCATAACGGGATTGCTAAGTCGTAATACTCTAATCAGATTTAAGTTTAAAGACTACCGAATCGTGTGAATACATTCAGCAAAGTGTTTTGATGGAAAATACTGTGAAATTAACGTTTAAATTTTGGTTGCCGAAAACAGTCAATGGGTGCCAAAGCCGACATTTACCCTATCTTGATTTTTAATGAATTTGGAGTTTGGGAAAATCTAAAAAGTTTAACGGTATGAGACACCACTTTGAAATGTTCATCAATGAAAGATATTTTTACTAACTAGTTGGAAAAAATTTAATCACTCAGAAAATTGTTTTTCCTGCTTTTCTTTGTGATTTTCCTTAATGGCAAAAAACTCCCCAGCACTAGTGACCAGCTCACCTGTAATTATCCACCTTGCTTTCGGTTCATTTTGTCTGGTAATAAAAAAAAACATCCCTTACTGCCGATTTTTAGCCCCTCTCCATTTCAAATATGAAGAAAACAAAAGTTTCCATCAGACACAAACGTTGCTTAACGCCAACATAGTATTAACAATTAACCTCGCAAAAAGTACTTCGTGATAAAGCTTGACGTTAAAACTGAACTACATTAAACTCTACTTCCAACTTCACCACAAATAGCTGGCAATGATCCAGACACCACACTCCGTGGGCCAAAACCATGTGACAAAACAAAAGGTTTCCTCTCGCCCTGTGGCATATCACCTTCCTCGCACTCGCTAACCAAATATAAATATGCATACATACCTACCTATATGGCAAAGAGAGTTCGTTTTCCACTTTTGTAGCCACGGCAGTGTGCCGAAGTGTTGTTAGATGGGTTAGAAGTAGGTATTTTACACGCAGTCGAAAGCATGACAGAGAGTAATGGCACTCTCTGGGTGTCAAAAATGTGTATCCAAGAACAGAAGTATGCCGAAATGTAAATGAAAAGTTCCTTCACACCTTTGACAGGGAGGCTTTGTTGTGTATGTACCGTGTCGATCCGTCGTTGTCAAGGGTTTTTTGAATGGAAGTGTTAAGCTGTTCCTTCCGGGAAGATGTGGGAGGAATTTTACCGGATGGGGAAGTGGGTTACTCTCAGGTATTTTATTTACCCTTGACTCATTCTTTGGGGTTAAGGACTTTAACTTGAATGCTTTATTGCCTTGCGGAGATATTGAAAAATGGTTCAACGATTGGTACTTACTTGAATTTTCATCCTTGATTTTGAGAGATAGTTTCGATTCGCTTTCGGACAGTTCATCTTGGGATTCATTTCCCTTGCTGCTACTATTGTGGTTTCCCTTGTTACCGTCTTTTAGTTGCTTCTTTTGTATCTTTTTCATCTTGGCCCGTTGATTTTGAAACCATACCTGATTGGAAGACACAAGTTTACTCATACCGTATTGCAATCATAGTGTGACTAAATTTACTTGCACTATCCGTATGCTTAGACCCGTGTCTTTCGCTAGCCCTTCCCGTATCTTCCGACATGGTTTGGGTGATATTTCAAACGACGCTTTGAAGGCCCTCCGTTGCTGAGTGGTTAGAATAGTTCGAGGTCGTTTCGGTCCACGCCGGCCGTCGATTCTCGTTTGAAAAATATCATCACAGCAATACTCATCTACAGAATGACCATCTCGTTAAACAAACATAACAGTTGAGAATGGAACTCCCAAACCTCACCGTAATTGTATCCTTGGAACATTTCCACCTCCTTCTCATAGTCCGGCCGGCAGAACAGCTGGCTCTGTTTGATGACGTACTGATCGCCTTTTTGCAGCCGAACCCCGCACACCACGCAGATAAAGCACTTGAGATGGAACACATTATCCAGCGCTCTCATTACCAACTCATCCGCGCTAATTTTCTCACCACATCCTAGACATCTGTTCCGCCCGTAAAGTCTGTAAAGGAGAGAGCAAGACAAACGAAAAGTATGTAACAAGTAACCTATTTCTTACACTAATATCCGCTAATGATTGTTGAGTTGTGTTTGCCTTTCTCGTAAACCGAAGTGTACCGAAAGGCTATAATATTACTCGAAAAACATTTTTTTGATCTAGACTCGGAGGGTCAGTGTTATATACCGTTCGACTCAGTTCGAGAATCGGAAATGCATCGCGATGGCTGACCCAGTTTTAATGGAACAAATTCCAGTGTTTATTTCAGGCTCTCATAGAACCCAATAGATTTTTGGTAACTCTGGGGTCGCCTTGTTTTTAAATGATTGAAAACCTATCATGCGACAAATCAAAGTATGCAAAAACAACATCATTAATGGTTAGGAAAAGTACCTAGGACCACATTGCTAACACTATTGGATACCATGGTGGAAGTGACAAGAATCTGCCATGAGCCATGGGTTCACCAAATCTCAAAATTCATGTATCTTCGTAAATATAGTTTTACATCGCGACTGGACGTAGGGATGTGGCGGGAAGATTCAAGTTCGTGTTTGCTGACAAGTTCGCGAAGAAGGCCATCATTTGGCAAGTGATTTGCAGTTGTGGCCTGAAAACGGAACCATCCCAAGTTTACATCGAAAAATGCCTGACAAAGCGTGTATTGCCGTTCATTCGCAAGCATAGGGGTAAAGTTATCTTTTGGCCCGATTTGGCCATCTGCCACTACTCCAAGGTGATTCTGGAGGGGTATGCTGCCAACAAGATCGATTTTGTCCCCAAGCTAATGAATCCTCCGAATTTCCCAGAATTGCGATCTATCGGAAAATACTAGGCAATTTCAAAGCAGCGACTTCGACGATGCGGCGGGGCAGTCAAGGGCATCCAGCGAATGCGGGCAAAATAAAAGAAATGCGCTGATTCCGTGTCCGTTTCCACTGTACGGGCGTTAATGGGCTCCATCAAGAGGAAGGATCGAGATTTCATTCAATGCTGTAACTTTGAAGTTTCAATAAAAGTACTGTAAAGCAACCATTAATGGACTTTTTAACTTATTGAATCACAAATTACAGGTCTTTTTGTGCGTACCAATTTACTTTTAGTCAGCCATTACCTGGCCATTGACTGCGAGTGGTCACCAGATGGCCCACCGGAAGATTTTGAAAATCCGTAAAATTGATTGCTGCGTAAATTTGATCAAAGCAGGCCTTGATTTTGCTTCGATGCTATACGGAATGTAGAAAATGGTGATTTTCGATACACACTGGAACCTCGATTTACGAACCAAATCGTAAATCGAATTAGTGCGTAATAAAACTCGTTATTTGAGATTTACTTCGTGAAAAGAGTTTTTTGAAAATATTGCCAGATACACCACAATATGGGTATTTTTTTAATTAGGAAGACTTGTAGGGACCGGAAATCGATATCTGAAGCCATTTTGAAATTTAGGATGGCGGCTTCCGGTTACAGAAATGCTTGAAAATTCAGTCAAATACAGTAATGACCCGGTTTTGTCGGCCCCTCCAAGCATCTGACTTTTATCTTTCCATGATTTCGCATAACCGTATTTCCAAATGATTCTCATTCATCTTCTAGATGGATGTTTATGATATAACTTGGTGCAATAAGACAACTGGAAATGGGTTTCATAGAACATTAGAAAAGATTTTCAAAAAGGGGGGTCATTACTGTTCTCCACAATGGGGTATTTTTGGAATCTGCGTGGTGTTTAGGGACCAGAAACCGATGTCTGAAGCCATTTTTAAATCCACGATGGCCGCTTCCGGTTAGAGAAAAGTTTTTGACGTAATTCCCAAGCTTTTCCCAAGCGATTTCAAAAGACGAGCAATTGTGTAACCTGCTGAAATTTGTACAACACTATAGTTCTTATTCAGAGCTTAAAGCTATTTTGGTGTATTGCTTTATACCCCGTTCACATTACAGCGTATATCACGTGATATACGCTGTCTTGCAATAAGCACTGATACATCTAGTTTTCACTGGAAATCCTATGTATGAGTGTTCATTGCAAGGCAGCCTATATTACGTGATATAGACTGTAATGTGAACGGGGTATTAGCGTGAGATAATTATTGAGATTTATATTAGCGATTCTCTCTTTCTCAACTATATACCAATAAGTCAGCGCTATGAGGTGTTACACAACTAATCCAATGAAATCGTCACTGTGATACGACGCCAAACAGTGTATGAAGCATTTTACGAGACGTTTCTGATCAGATAGAGGAGGCTACCTAAGGAGGCTGTAATCAAAATCTGACTGGCAAACTAAATCCTGTCATTTCGTAAAATGATCTATAAGGAACTTGCAAATGTGGCAAAAGTGGCAAAAGTGGCAAATTATTAAGACCTAACTCCTCCGATCATCTTCCTCAGCTCCAGAGAAAACCCACACTAGGCTAAATCTACGATGCAATAAATTTTACAAATATTATACATCTCCCAGATAATCATCAACAACGAATTTCTCTGAGGGGGGATAGGTGTTCGATATTGTAAAAGCAATTTTCTCCGAAAATTTGCCCTAAATCATGATTTTGGGTTTACAAATCTTTAAACATGTTTAACTCCGTAAATATGGCCTTAATCGCGATTTGAAGAGTGTTTGGTGTTGAAAACTGGTGTTATTGATTCTCTCCATAAATTTTAACAAAATAATTTCAAATTTTAAACTCATTTATCTTCGTAAATATGGCTATGATTAAAATTTGTGGGGTATTTAGGTGAGCGATATTTAGCCGGCTTGAGTTTTCCAAATCTTTTAACCCGTTTGTCTCCGTAAATATGGCTGAGCAATTCCCTTTCTCTGTATTTAATTTAATTTTGTATTTTTGAAAAGGGCATAATATATAAAATATATACACACCAAAAAATTCTGAATTTTACTGGCGATGTAAACATCCATGCATGCAAACATTCATACATGTAAACTTCCTTTTCACGTAAACTAGCAACTTGCAAGAAATGTTGCAAACAAAAATGGACAGTTGCATACAATATATGGTATATTACATGACATGTCTCATAAATTTACACGATCTATAATCTAAACTTGTATGACATATGACGCTCCATTTATGTACATCATAGTAACGGAAATTTACACTACTTTTTTTAGCTGTGTAGCTAATCTTCAGAAATTTTTTACTCCAAAACGGTTTGCCCGATCGGTTTGATGTCGTGGGCAATATTGCTGCTAATTGATGAGACCAAATTACCAAACTTTTTTTTTAAATTTCAATTTTTCTCGAAAAAAAATTTTGTTTGTAATTTTTTATTTGTTGATATTGTTTAGGTCAAAATGGAGAAATGATGGACAAAAAAGTTATGATTTAAAAAAAAAAACTCAAGTTTTTGGAAAAATATCCAAAACTTGGTCCAATTACTATTTTGAAATGAAAGTACACCAAATTTACAATAAAAAAGCACGTGGGTAAAATTTTCGCACTGTTTTCGAGATGTAGCGGTTTGAAAGTTAACATTTTTAAAATGTTGGTAATTTTTGGTCATTTTTAAATGTATTTCGCGGTTCTCCAGTTTCAAAAATATTTTTTTTTTTCCGAAAGCTCTGAAAATTTTACAATGAAAATCCTCTTGGTGGCTCATCGATATGATCTAAATTATCCGGAATGTGTATGTTTTAAAACAATTTATTTTCTTGCAAATACATATTGCGCTCGTTAGGATATGCAAAGAACTTATAATTGCGATTTTTCGAGAATGATTTCATTTATTTTTACATTGTTAGATTGATATACTTGTAATAAAAATCCATACTTTAATTCTTAGTAATATCAACAATTTTCTTTTCATTATTACAGTTTCAAAAGTGTCTGACTTTTATTTGTCTTTCAGAAATAGGAATAAATGAGTGGTATTTTTGAGTTCCTTGAGTATTGTTCGTTGAGCTCGTGCTTATGAGTTTTATATTCTTCAGTAGTTGCATAACAAAAGAAATTCTCTAGCTAGACTACACAGATAAAAATTCTGAATTTTAATAGTGATTTAATGTTGTTTACAACAATGGGCTTTTGTATGCAATATTTGCTACATTGCATGAAATGTCTCAGAACTTTACATGATATATAATGTAAATTTATATGATATGTGGCGCTCCATTTATGTGCATCATACTGAACAGAAATTTACACTACTTTTTCGAACTGTGTAGCTCTGGTAGCCATACGTTTCAGTGTTCCTCCTATAGCATCACATGGACCTTTTCCTTGCGATGTTGCGAAGAAATGCCATTCAACTTCTATTCCATATTTATTCTTAAATCGGCAAAGACTAGAAAAAAATATCTGATTTTTATATTGGGATGCAGCTCCGTCCGACATGAAATACATATACATATACTACATAACTCAAATGATTAATTGTTCCTTCATGTTTAAAATAAATGATAAATGGATGAATAGTTGCTTGCTGATTATTCCAGTGATGACTTTGTACTTCGTCTTGTAATACAAATGTGTAGTTTTCTGAAAAATCACAAATCCACCTTCCTGTAAATTTTCTTTTGTATTCTGCAAAAACATAGACTGCCCAGACAACCAGAATGCACGTATATTCAAAGTTGTTTTCGTGATATACAAACATATATGCAAACAAACAACTCGTATAGAATGCAAAGATATGCCTTATACGTACAAAAGTGGAGGCCATAAACGTGCATATTTTAATTTAATTTTAAACGAGTTGATTTAACATCATAAACGATTTAATCTGTAATAACATATTCATTCTGAAAAGTCTTACGACGTATTCCGATTTAATTTGTGATACAGTACGACAGAAAGATGATTCATCGCATATAAGTCGGAAATTCGCATTCTATACGATTTAACTTAAACATAATGCGAGGTATGTCATTCTTATATGCGATTTTGACTTAAACTGTAACAATTTGCGATACTGTCTGTACATTGTTATACGACTTCTGGTTGTCTGGGTGCTGTTGATTTATAAAATCATGA